ACTATAGTTTTATTGGAGGCAGAGCTCAGTTGCAGAGTGCCATAATCAGACAGTGTTCTCCTGTGGCTGAATTGTACTCAGGGATTGTTCCTTGAGGATGAGTATTGGAAATAAGGAGACTTGTGTTTCCTATACCATTTTTATCTATTACCAGTTCTTACTCTATGTTGATTTCCTTAATTGTAACCATTTCCCAGGCCATGACTTGATTCTCAAGTCACTCTGATTATGATTAATATGATCTTGGTCATTGTAACAGGGGAAACTTAAAGTTTGAAGCCACAAAGAGATACCTACTTGTTTTTCTCATGTTTGCAGTATTTGGTTTTGTATTAACTGTTCTGAAGTAATCTCTTCTTCCCTGTATCTAATAAAGTGAGTGAATTACTGAACACTGAAAGCACTGCATGAAAGTATGAATGGGTACACAATAGGAACATTATTCTGATTTTGCATGTACTGGTCTGTATTCTGCTTATTGCACTAGGGCAAACCCACAGTAAGGGACAGCAGAGTCCTGTGAACCTCGTGGAAGGCAGCATAGACTCCCAAGCCCTCACTCCTGTATCAACACCATTTTTACCTCTGATGTTTTAATGCACTGAATTATATCTATTATGAAGTGTACATGATGAAAAACACAGTCATTTGCTGGTACAAAGCCAGTGTAATGTGGATTCAAGGAGCATACAGAGAAGGAAAAAAAGCCTAAATATATTTATGATAAAAGTGCTACTAGAGGGAGCCCATATAATTCCCTGAATAGGGTGGTAAAATTGTCACTGGCAAATGAAACACAAAGAAATGATTCTTTTAATAATTCTTTACCATTTTACTGTTCTTCCTGCTGCGACTGATAAATGCTTTACTGGCCTGAATGACATTAACATAATCCCCTCCTTGAAATGTGAGAGCTATTATGATAATTGTCACCCTTCTTTCTGTTATTGGGGGGAAAAAAGCTACATGAGTACCAAAACTGATTATTATTTGTGCATTGGGAGCTTAGTCCCAAAAGGCACACAGGAGAGTGAAAAATCTGAGGTAATTGTCATTTATACATTATTTTCCTGAGTTGGATTTCAGCTATTTGTGCAAACCCCGAGTATCTCAGTGGGGAAGGACTTGCTTGAATACATGTTTTAATGTTTCCAGTATATACCCATTTAGGTTCTAATGTAGTAGTCTTTGGTGTAAATATGTGAGTATAATTGGAAAATGTGATTTTACTGAGAAGGAAGCTGGGTTTGTTCATCAGTGGGCTGGGCTGGATGCAGAGCTTGGAGTTGTGGCGTGGTAAATCCATGGGGCAAATGGGTTTAAATTACAAACCTTCTCTACACATTCCTCTGCCTGTATGTGAGGACTGTGTCCTCCTTCCCAGTCTTCTGTCATTTTCTCCCTCCATTTATTCCCAGTTTCTACCGCCAGGCTGAGGGTGGAGATCAGGAGCAGCTCTGGACTTGGGCTATGAAGGAGTTTCCCACTAGGTGGTAGTGAAGAGAATCGTGTCACACATGGCCACTGCACATTGTAATTAGGTTTGTAAAGGGGAATCCCACAAGGATCTTACAAGCAAATAGCCTAATGTAGCTCCCAGATGTACAGTCAGAAGTGGATCTCTTTATTTTTGGGTTTTTTTCCTTCCTTTTCTGCTTCTGTCCATGCTATTTGTTCCTTCCTGAACAAAGCTGGGTTGACAACTCTACCTGTCATGTCCTTTCCTGAAGGGTGAAGTGTCTACATGAAGCTCCTCTGGTTCTTTCCACCTCCCTTACAGCAGAATCATGACATGGTTAGCTAAATGTCATCTGCTGACATTTAAAGAACTTGGAGGTGAGGACTCTTTGTAGCCAGTGCTTTCATCTGATTTTTCTCTACCATGCTTGCCTCTGGGAGATGGCCTTCCAAAGATAAAAATAATTTTTAAAATGGTTTTGTTTGCTGCTGGTTCTGAAATACCTTGACAGGTCTAAGTAAAGCATCAGTCTACATCAAAGGCTTCAGGCAGAACAGGTACTTTGGGAGGACTTTGTAATGTCAGAGTAAACTGTCACTGAAATTCAGACTAAAGCTCTCTTGTAGGTCCAAAGAGAGACTGTACAAAAGATACACTGAGAAAATTATCTGAGGAAAGCAAGCAGTGCTCCAGTTTGCAGTTGAGAGTAGATGCTGGGTCTGCAGGGAGGAATAAATTTCTCCTGTGAATTCATCCCACTGCTATCCTGTAATGATAGAGCAAGCTTGCAAAATCATTTAATAGTCTAGTCACAAAGCCTGAGATGCTGGAAAGAAATTATACTTTAATTGCTGATCAGCTATAAATCATTTATGCCAAATTAATGTGCTGGAAATTTTGCAAGACTGAGAAACTGGAAGCTATTTCAATATGAACAGAAAGCAGGGATATTGTTTCATAGATATCAATATCAGTTTTACATCCTTCTCAGCAAAAAGAAAATTAGGAAAGGCTCTTAGAATCAAGACAAGGCTGAAGGCTGATTTATCTTGCCCTGCATTGATTTAAAAGGACTGAGAGGTTCTTTTTTCTTCTTACATTTACTCTATTATAATTAGTGAAAAGGGTAGCACCAACAGGCATTCCAGGCATTCAGGTTTGCACCACAGTAGAGTGAGGATTCAAAATTATTTATTTATTATCTAAGCATTTCTGCAGGTCTTTCTGCTGTGCTGAGGAGAAGAAAAGCAGGGAACTTATCCATTGTGCAAATCCTTATCCATTGTGCAAAGCCTGAGATTTTTGTTTTTTGGACAGGGGATACGTGTATGTGGGAACAGCAGAGTTTCCCCCCAAACTCACAGAGTGGGCTGTGCACCCCAGCTCTGAGCACGACTCCTCCCTTGTCCTCCCATGCCCACCAAAGCTCCCGGATCCGCCGGGATGGGCACAGGGACTGTGCACGCCGAGGGCAGAGAGCAAACAGGGCACGGAGTTTCTCCAGCTAGTCCAGCCTGAACTGGATGGGAGGAAAGTTTAGCATTCCTCACCCTCTGATCCTTCCAGCACCCCCAGCTGCCAGGAATGACCCCAGCAGGGATCCTGTGACCCAGCCAGGCACGGTCCCCGGAGCGTTTCCACCTCCCGGCTGATAAATCCGATTCTCAAGCACATTTAGTAAGTGGCTGAAGTGCTGATTAGGTCGGGAGCTCTAAGGTCATTCCTGTCCACAAGGCCAAAGGGCTGGCAAAAACACTGAGGATTTGGATGCTGAAGTGACACAACCTGTATCACTTGTTTTGAAAGCATGAAGCTACAGGGGGAGAAACCCTCAGAGTCCAGCACCATCTTAATAAAAGCTTTGTTTAACTGGAGCACAGGAGTCCCAGGCATTCTCTCCAGCAAGACCAAATAAACCTGTGTTGCATGTGCAGCATCTTCCTGCTGCAGCTCCCCAAAACTTCAGGTGGCTGCAACACTTTGCAGTTTCCTCTGTAATGACTGATGAGCAGAGCTAGCAGCGATGAAGCGATCTGCCCAGGATTACACAGCAGCTGGTGACACCACAAAGATGAACAGAGACATTCCTTACTTTAATCCTCTGTCATGACCACACACCAGCCTAAGGTTTTTCCATTTAAGAGAATAAATGAGATGGACAACATGAAAATGTTTTATTCAATCCACTGATAGGAACAAACTAAAGTGGGCTCCAAATTTCAGAGGCATCTGGCATCCCTGTAGATGCAATGAGAATGTCCCAATGTCCCATTATTTTTTGGAAGATTTTAACAAAATTCTATCAAGGCATAGAATTTCTTCATACTTGTTTTTAAAACAAATACCCATTTTTACCAGCTCCTGGCATTTGTTCTTCTATTTATATTTGATGCAGTTACGTCACCTCTAGCTGTACGTTCAAACTGGCTGTTCTCCCTCCCACACTGAAAGGGACAATGAGCGGGAATGCACAGCTGGCCTGGAACAATTGATCCAAGCTCTGCAAAGCCCCACTTGCACTAAATTGCTGCAAGTGAGCTCCCAGGAGGTAAGGATTACTCGCGTGAGCAAGGCGAGCAAAAAGCACAGGTTCTGCATTTGGCAGAAACACAAGGAAGGGCTGAGGGCTTGGCAGAAAGCAGAGCGGTATCAACGCAGCGCTTTCTCTGCCTGAGACTCGCACAGCTTTAATAGCAGGCTGCTGATAAAATGAAGCACATGATTTTTATTTGGTCAAAGTGTCTGGAATGTTATTTTCCTTCCCTAAAAAAACCCAAACATTTGGAGCATTTGATCCTATTGACGTTACTCGGTTTCAAAGATTCAAGAATAGAGCAATCTCCAGAAACACCTGTGCATCTGACGAACTAACACCGCACTTAGGAATTGTTTTACCTGAACGCGCATTTGCCGCCCGGCCCGTTCCCAGAGGATCCCCGCGCCACAGCGAGCTCCTGGGCGGGCCGGGGCTCCCAGCGGGAGCAGCCCCCAAGCGCCCCGGGCTCCCTCTCCGCCAGCCGCGCTCGCCGTGCCCCGGCACCCCGCAGGCCCGGGGGAGCTGCGGGAAAGGAATCGCCGGCTCGGGATTCACCTCGGGAGCCGCGGCTCCTCGCCGGAAGCCCCCAGCCCCAAAACGCAGCCGCAGCTGGCGCTGCTTTTGTGCCGGAGGAAAGAGCTCCGTCCGGCCCCTCTCCCGGCCCGCCGGGCGCGGCCCCCGAGCGGCGAGGCTGCAGCGGGGCGGCCGGGCCCGACAACCAGCACCGCCCGCC